ATATGCAAAAGCTATGTCTAAAGCAGAGTGAACAAACAGGGATCTTGAAATGGGGGAGGCGTTTAACATGCGTTTTACGAATGAATCGAGCAGAAAAAGGAAAGAGCCGCAGAGTGGTTCCCAAGACTTGCGGGCCAGCCGTTCCGGTGATGCTCAGTCCGTCCCAACCACACCGATGTCACGCCGTCCAGTCCCTTCCGCAATGTGCGCGCGGTGAGTCGCGTCGTCGTGCATACATCGCCACCACGACTTTGTTGAACCGAGCCGATTCAAGACATATCAATTTGACAATCTATTCAAATTTTTTAGCTTTTTTGTAACAACTTCGTCAACCTATTCAGATTTTTTGAGGTTTTTTTTATTTATTTTATTTTATTTTATTTTATTTTATTTTATTTTATTTAACTTTGATATCTACACAAAATATCGAGCTTTAAAATGTTGCATACCATCTTTTCGTATGTTTATATTTTGGTAACCAACTTGATAATTTTTGCTAAAAATCGCATTGAGTAATACTTTTAAAAATATGACTTTTCAATCCTTCTAAAAGCCTACCTTATTTTTTGTAACAAAATTCATTAATTTTGGTAAAATAAAGTCAAGTTGATATGGTGAAATAATCTTCAATCTCATGTCATCCTAAAGCCAATTTTGAATCCTTTTATGTTTAATTAATTAATTGATTAATTTTGTTTATAAATAATCTTCTATCTCATGTCATCCTAACGCCAATTTTGAATCCTTTTATGTTTAATTGATTGATTTTATTTAAAAATAACGTAACATAATTAATAATAATTTCATGTTTCGTTATTCTACATATGAATAGAAGACCTTTGCCAATTAAAAAAAGAAAATAATTACAATGGTGATTTTTCTTATCAAAATGAAACATCCGTCTAAATAATTTGGAAAATCAACATCTTACTTTGTAGAAGTCTCTTCGATACATATCGATAATATCATTAAGAAGATATCCCAAACAAAGGAGGGCGTGTTCAAATAGGACTTTTTAAGACTTTCAAAATTTTGTATTTTGTTGTATTCAACTGAAATTTTTTGATACTTCTAAAAGTGCATGACTTTTAAAGACTTTTTATAAATCTCTAGAAGTCTAAGTATATTCAATTGAAACTTTCTAAGAGCGACAATAAGTCACCCGTTATTCAGAACAGAAAGAATTTATAAGACTTCTTAAATTGGAAGACTTTCGAAGATTTTTTTTTCAATAAAATTACAAAGACAAAGTCTTAGTTGAAATCTCATTATATTGGTTAGATTTTGTTATAAAAGTCTCACAATGTCTATCAAAATCATAAAAATTCCAAATATTTGGATTAGTTTGTGTGGTAAAAAAATCGTTGTATTGGTATGAAAATTCGGTTTTATTTTTAGGAAAAACTAATGATTCTTTTCAATTTTTTTGAATTAAAGTTTTGAATTAGATTAAAAAATGGCATGAAAATTCCTAGAAATCTTTATTTTTTTTCGATTAATTTTTTTAATTAATAAGATCCTTAATTTTTTTTTATTAGAAAAAATGTAATTTGTGAGCTATTAACTAAAAATACACAATTTTAGATAAAATTCGAACACCTATGTAGTATTTTACGTGCCATAAAATCAAACAAAAAATGTTTACATAAGGAAGTGCTCAATAATATATAAATTTTATTTTCATGATATTTTTAATGTCATGAGACAGTTTAAATGCAAAAATAGTAAAATACCTTTAAAAAATGCCTCCAAATGCACGGTCACTGTACTAGTATTGATAATATTAAAGATAAGATTGAGTTAAAGTTAAGTTAAATTTGAGTTTTGATTGAGTTTTTTACTATTCAATTGGTGTGACGCCCGCATTATCTTTCATCCCTTCAAAAAAAAGAAAGTACATATTAACAAATCAAGGTCAGTAACGGAGGACATTTTTAATTCTACAGCTTACATTCTCCATCCTCCTTTTCATAATTTCATTTTTCACTTATTATGTCGACCTAGCGGGCAGTAATTGGGTTGAATCTGCTTGAAACGAACGCCGTTGGGTGCAGGTCGGAGATGAAGGTGATAGAGAAGATCCAGGAGGCGGAGGCCGCCAACGACGGCCGGGTGGTGTTCTCCTTCGAGTTCTTCCCGCCCAAGACGAAGGACGGCGTTGACAACCTGTTCGAGAGGATGGAGCGGATGGTGGCGCAAAACCCCACCTTCTGCGACATCACATGGGGAGCCGGCGGGTCTACGGCGGATCTGACGCTGGAGATCGCCAACCGCATGCAGAACATGGTGTGCGTCGAGACAATGATGCACCTCACCTGCACCAACATGTCCGTCGAGAAGATCGACCACGCCCTCGCCACCATCAAGTCCAACGGCATCCAGAACGTCCTCGCCCTCCGGGGGGACCCGCCTCGCGGCCAGGACAAGTTCGTCCAGGTCGAAGGGGGGTTTGCGTGCGCCCTTGACCTGGTGAGTGCTGTTTGAAATGAATGCCCCTGTTCTGTGATTGATGTTCAGCCTGTGGATTGTTGATTGTGTTTGTCCCTGCTTGTTTTGCAGGTTAAGCATATCCGGGCTCAGTACGGGGACTACTTTGGGATTACTGTTGCCGGTTATCCAGGTCCTAATTATGTGATTTTTTTATTTTTTTTTTTTTGGTAGAAGTAAATGTAAATGAATGTTCTTGTGTTGTGAAACTGTTGGTGCTGTTGAAATTGACATGAGTTTGAAGGCAATGTTGAATCTATCATGATTTTTCTTAGTTCTAGCTGAGTCCATGTTCCAAAGTTTTGTATAATTAATACACATGTCCTGGACTGATCTTTGTTCGCTGCATGTTTAAGTGTATTCGGTGAATTTCTTTGACACTGGAATATGTTCTTACTTCACCTTACATTGTTTATTCAGAGGCACATCCTGATGTTATTCAGGATGGAGTGGCCCCGCCAGACGCATATCAGAATGACCTTGCTTATCTTAAGAGAAAGGTGGTCTGCTTCCCTGAAATTTAGTTTGTATAGTATCTCACTGTAGTGAATTGGACATATCTCAGTTGTGCAAGTTTTTCATGTGATGCTTTATTTTCAGGTTGATGCTGGAGCGGATCTCATTGTCACTCAACTCTTCTTCGACACTGACATCTTCCTAAAATTTGTCAACGACTGTCGTCAAATTGGAATCACCTGTCCCATTGTACCTGGTATCTTGCCTATTAACACTTATCAAGGGTTCCTCCGCATGACCGGGATGTGCAAAACTAAGGTAGTTGCCTCACTGTTTACGATATCTCAAGATGCATCTATGTCGGTTATTTCTCTGTTTTTCCTCCCTCCCAACTGGTATCAAGTTTTAAGATCACAGGAGATTTATAGAACTCTGTTGACTGTTAATTAATAATTTTTTAATAGCCTATTTACATCTAGATGAGAATCATAATTTAAAGGGTGAATTGTGAAATGAGATATTGATACTACATTATTTCCCATGATTGGTAAACAAAATACAGATAGTGGGATGAACGTTATCAAGTTTTGCATCCTGGCTAGTGGCTAGAGTAGCAAGTGTTTTAGGTGGATTTGAGGAAGGAAAGAAACAACATAATGATGGCCACCTCTGAGCTGCCAAATGAAATTCTCGACTTGGAATTTCTATCAAAGCCATGTAGAGGTGGATGTTCTATTTCCGGGTTTAGTAGTGAAAGTTGGATATTTGGACAAGTGAAAACTGAGAATTAACTCAACATCTATGTTTCAGGTTTATCTGTAAATATCTCAATATCTTCTAGTAATAAAACGGAGGCATACATCTTTTTTGCTTCAGGCCCATAGATGGCATTGCTATGAATTAGAATTATGCCCGGGGCTCATTGAAATACTTTGCTATATTGAATCAGATTCTTTGTTCCTTTTCTTTAGTATAAATCTATATTCAGTGGATAGCATCTTCATGACTTAATCTTCTCTTTTAGATCAGGTCAGATCGCTTATGATATCTGCTAAAATCTAACTATGAAGTAAAAACTGAATCAAAGGTTCACAGAGTATTATGAAGAGTCATTTAGAGAATCAATCTGCACAGTACGAAATGTTTAATATAGAATTACCCTTTGCAAAAACAAGGTTTCAGGCACGCAAGATAGTGGTCAAGTTCATCAATCTCTTATAGAACCTTTGTATTGATTCTTCTCAGTTAACTGTTCTTGTCTCTACCAACTATGCCAACGGCTATATCAGGTTCTGGTAATGCTTAACTGATTAAGCTCCCAGAGCAGCAGAAATAACTGTCATAGCTTTTTATTTAATTTACGCAACATAGAAAGCATTAGAATTTGGGAATCTCATATTTAGTTAACAGTGAATTAGTATATATGCACCTTGCACTGTCTTTCCAGGATCCATTCAAGCATTTATCCAATTTCTTGTGTTTTACTGTAGATTCCACCCGAGGTTATGGCTGCCTCGGAACCATTCAAGCATCTATCCAATTTCTTGTGTTTTACTGTAGATTCCACCCGAGATTATGGCTGCCTTGGAACCAATCAAGGACGACGAAGAAGCTGTCAGGGCCTATGGGATTCACCTGGGGACAGAAATGTGCAAGAAGATTATTGCTAGTGGGATCAGAACTCTACATATGTACACGTTAAACACGGATAAATCTGCACTGGCAATATTGATGGTCTGTGTTCTTTACCTGTCTACTTTTGTAGCTTCACCTCCACAAACTACTTATGACTGCAAATAAAACATCATACTTATATTTGATTCATCCTTCAGAACCTTGGGCTGATTGAGGAGTCCAAAATTTAAAGGTCTTTGCCATGAAGACGTCCAGCAAATGTTTTTCCTGGTGAAAGAAGACGTTCATTCAATATGGACGTGTGTGATCGACCGTAAGGATAGTATAATATTGTTTGTTCGGCAGCAGGTTTAGCTTTACACTTTCTGCCGCTTCATTCTTTCCTTTTTTGCTCGATTATTCAGTGGAATTTCCGATTCTTTTGAAATTTCAGACATGTGATTCCATTTTCTTTCTTAATTTATGTTTTCTAGCTCAAGTATCATTTCCGATTTTTAATTTTCGTGCTGAAATGTTTTTATTTGTTAAAATCTTTATAGATTTCGTTTGGTTTTATGTATATAGTTTTTTGTAGGATTTTTAACTTTTTTTTTTATTTCATATTTTTGGTACGATTTTTGGCTAATTCGTCTTCATTTTTTCAACAACTGGCAAATTTTAGTGCTCGATCTTAAAACTTACTACATAAAATGCTTTTTGTTGTTCAAAAATTCGTCATTTTACCGCGTCTTCTATACACAGATTCATGTTTTTTGGGTTATGAATTGATTTGATGAACTTACACGCAATTTTAGCGGGATATCAAATTGATAAGGACATTTGAGTTGTACGCTATCGGTAAGCAATTCATTTTACTATCTGCAATCTGTTTACTTCCATGTAATGTTCATTTGCGGATTTCCTGAGTTCTCGATGTATGATGTAATTTTAGCATGAATTGCTGATTGTATTCTTGAAAGTTTACGTGCCATGAAACTGTGTCACTGAAAGCTTGAAACTGGGTTTCGCCCTAACTACATTATGAAGATGGACTTTTGCACTACTATTAAAAATAAAAAATAAAAAAAATAGCACATTATAATTTACATTTTTTTTTCAAATATAAGTGATGATGAATCTTAATTATGGGATTTGGGAAAATGTTTAAGGTGTTTATTAAATGTTTAAGGTGTTTATTAAATGTTTAAGGTGTTTATTAAGAGTAGCTAACATTGTAAATCGCAAAATCGGTATAAATCCTAGGTCGCAAGTGGGTTGATCGGCCGGAAGGTAAAACAAGGTGAAGGAGGATGCATTTTCTGCGGCGACGAGCAACTATTGAAACTAAGTATCATGATAGGTAAAAATATCCTATGTAACTACAAGTTAATTTGCTACGGTAAATTCAGACTGATTACTGAAGATTAATTTTTATGGTATTTGTTGCTTGGGATCTTGAAATCAAGGTCTCAACATGCCCCATTTCATGAATTTTGGGTGTGTGTCTCTGTATGAAAATGACAAAAGAATGTGAGTTGATCATTTATATATTGTATGAACATTTGAACATGAATCCACGCATTGCATGTGCACGATATATATTAAGTGTTTTATGCATACAGATTTTGCTGAAAGTTGAAATTTCATATTATATGTAAGAAACGGGGAAAAAGTCCGGATAAAGTCGAGTGAGATTCCATTCCAAAACAAATTGGTGGAAAGAGGAGTAGCCTACTAGACTTATAAATGGAAAACAAATTGGTGGAAAAAAGGAGTAGCCTACGAGACTTATAAGTTAGACCTATTTTCCTTATATAAACGATAATGGATAACTCATCAGTGATATTCTAACATTATACACTGTCACTTGTTCGAGAATATATTCGTGAAGTCCAATTAAAATAACTTGGTGTATTCGTTTGAGAAATCTAAAGTTTTTTTTTTTTTTTTTTTT